CTTTATGAGTTGATTATGACTTCTTTGGCTCATTTTGAACAATTCCTGCAACCAAGCATATTATTAGTTTCCGCAATACCTTCACGCATTTTTGGCCCAAAACACAAGTAAAAGAGAGCAAATAATAGGTTAAAATGCCTACTTATCAGCTTGCAAAATGTGTACTTTACTTGCAAAATGCCTACTTTACTTGCGTTTTAGCTCAAAAATGCTTAAAGGTATTCCCGAGAACTGATAAAATGTGCTTACTTACAGGATTATTGGAAAATGAGCCAAAGAGATGAAATTAACTCAAGAAGAAGTAATTTTGGACAAGGACTAAAACAAAGCAAAAAAGAGCAAAGTGCGGACCACACAATATTGTGTGCGGCCGCACTATGAAGACTCCTCAGTCAGATTTTCTATGCAAAGTGTGGACTGCACAATTATAGTGCGGTGCAGAAGATGAGGTTCAGAGAGATGTGATTTTGGTCCATGAAGAAGTGCGGACCGCACCATTATTGTGCGGCCGCACTCAGAAATGCGCGGTCCGCAGAAGCCTTCCATGTCAAAGCTCTAACTCAAGAGTGCGGCCGCACTCATAATTCCTCGACCGGAGGACGATGAGATCCAGTTGGAAGATCCCGAGGGTGCTGATGATGCCATGCGCACTGAGACCACATAAGGAGTTCTCTTCAGTCTCTACCCTTCCTTATTCTTATTTTTGTTAAGCAATAAGGACAATGCTTATTCTTATTCGGAAGGGGTGGTCTATTTTGGATAGTTTATTATGACATTGACATTGGCCTGTAATAAATTTAATACTCTTTTTCTTTTATCTTTATTCGCTCTTTCGTTATGTATATATTCCTCCCTTTCCCTTGATGTATATATTCACTTTCCCTCGGTTTCTATATTCATTTGACTTACTTTCAGTAGTTTATTTTATAGCTTCTTTAGTTTGGTTTTCTTAGTAGTATAACTCTTATTTAATTTAATAGCTTCTTTTTGATTTGGTAGTTTCTTGTTATGTTTAAGTGAGCGATAAGCCTTTGGTTTTTTTAATGCTACGGTTCTTTTCAAAGGTGGGTTTTGTGTGAACCGGGTGGCTCTTCCCAATGATGGGTATGACAACCTTCTTAAGGGATTGAGTCCGTTTTTTATGTTTAGGTAAAAATAGTAGTAATGAATAAAAGGGTCTCAAGCATGCTTCACTTGGTACCAATACATTTACCTACGGCCTTATGGTCAAAAACAAGTTCTTGGCAAGAAATAGCTCTAATTAGTGACCTTTAGACTCTTGTGTTGACCTGAGCAATCATCGAGTGGTTTAGTTGAATCATTAGTGATTTTCAATCTTGAATATGGTTGTTGTAGGCCCTCGACTCTATCCTCTTTAACAATCCAATTGTGTGAGAAGTGATATTTTTTGTTGCAAGTCCAACTACCCGTGCTAATAGTCTAGAACTTGCCCCGAATGTTTTTTCTAGGCGAAATTCTAAGTTTGGCTTGGCTTGAGAAATTATTGTAGGCTCTCCTTGATTCAATTTGAAAGTAGACATAGCCTACCAATGTGATATCCCTAGTCAACCCATTTGAGCCTAAGCCCTTTTTCATTTAATAACCACGTTACAAGCCTTTATCCATTTTGTAATGACTCTCTCTTGGCACCCGATCTTTCCTTAGAATTCTTGAGAAACAATTGGCTAAAACATAATTTTGGGGGAGAGACAAGGAGTTTGAAAGTGATATAAAGGTACAAAGAAGAGGAAAGAAATGAAGAAAAGGAAAGGCAAAGAAAAGAAAGAAAGAACAAAAAGAAAAATGCCAAAATGAAAGTGAATAAAGTAAAGAGTTGAAGGATTCAAAGAAAAAAAAATAAGGATGAAAAGCATGGAGTAAATAAAGAATGAGAAAATGAATATCATGGCCAAGAAAGAGTGACGTTACGTCTCTCTAGTTCCCCCGAGGAAAAAGAAAATGACTCAAAGAGTCGACAAAGTATGAGCCAAAAAGAGAAAATGGAGTGCTTAAGAAAAGATGAACCCATTCTATTCCAACAAATCCTACCTTAGTCCAAAAGCCTTCATTACATCTCGAAAAAGCCCTACATGATTTCAAGTCGAGTGAGCTTACATTAGTGGTGATTTACATGAGGGGCAAGCATATGGTACTTAGAGCCGTACTTGTGACATTCTTTTGAGAGATGTGAGCTAACTTTTCACAATCCTTGAATTGAGCGTTACATTCTAAAGTGAGATATGCTAACGGAGAGTAGAGGAGGAGGAGTTTGGGATCCACAATGGCCTACATGAAAGAGCGAGCTTCCTTGATGAATAAAGTCAACTCTTGATGCTCTAGTGTCACATTTGAACTATTGTACTTGAAAAGTCAAATTATTGCCTTGTTAATAATTCATCAGTGTTGTGGGTAATTGTTGGTCCCAATTGATGTGTGTTTGATTCACCTTAGGCTAGCTGAAATAGATCTTTTCTTGTGGAGGTGTGAATTACCTTATTTGCTTGAGGACAAGCAAAAACTTAAGTTTGGGGGAGTTGATAAGTAGGGATTTTGATTACTTATTTGCACTCTTTTACTTGCGTTTTAGCTCAAAAATGCTTAAAGGTATTCCTGAGAAATGATAAAATGTGCTTACTTGCAGGATTATTAGAAAATGATCCAAAGAGATGAAAATCAACTCAAGAAGGAGTAATTTTTGACAAGGACTAAAATAAAGAAAAAAAGAGCAAAGTGCGGACCGCACAATATTGTGTGCGGCCGCAGACTATGAAGACTCCTCTGTCATATTTTCTATGCAAAGTGCGAATCGCACAATTATAGTGCGGCCGCAGAAGATGAGGTTCAGAGAGATATGATTTTGGTCCATGAAGAAGTGTGGACCGCACCATTATTGTGCAGCCGCAGAACCAAAAGTCTGGCCGCACTCAGAAATGTGTGGTCCGCACAAGCCTTCCATGTCAAAGCTCTAACTCAAGAGTGAGACCGCACTCATAATCGTGCGGTCCACAGAATCTGAAGAACTGCGGCCGCAACCCAGAATTGTGCGGCCGCAAAAGTCCATCCTGTCAAGCCAACTCCAAAGTGCGGACCACACACAGAATTGTGCGGCCATAGAACCTCCGCATGGGCAATTTTGTCCGATAATTTCAGCTAGGTATAAATAGTTCTTTTTGTCACATTTAGGTTAAGTTTGAACATTAGAAAATAGATAGCCGTTTTTCCTTTACTGCTTTAGGTAACTTTGTAATAGTTTATCATTTTAACATTGGATTTTCTTTCATTTACCATTTATTATGAGTTTAATCTTATTTTCTTCTTTAGTTTCTTCAATTTTCTCTATGAGTAGCTAATTTCTTAGCTAGGGTTGTGACCCAACCCTAGTGTGGGTACCTAATGGGTGTTTAATTTTGGGTTTGTTTGTGATTGGATTAGTGATATTTAGCCTAGTTCTTGCATGAATTTAAGAATTAATGGTTGCAAACATTGATTCATGCTTAATTGACTTAGTCTCTACTTGAGAAAGAGAGACTAAGTCTAGGAAAACTTGGCTAACAAGGAATTGGGGTGAACTCAAAAATTGATAGCCCCAAATAAAAGGTTGAATCTAGAGATAGTAAGACCCGACTTGAGCATCTATCACTTGTTTTGTGAATTGCCCATTTGGACTTGAGAAAGTCAAATTGGGCAAAACCACTCTAACTACCGAGAGGTATAGAGTGGGTAATTGCGTGTGATTGCTATATTACACCTTGATCAATCAAACTTGCCCTAAAACTCACAACCCATTAGGTAACCACCTAGTTGGAAGTCACGACTTAGATCTTTTATAAACTTGAAAAACAACAACGCCACAAATATCGTTCTCTAGTTTATCATTTACAAACATTAGCATAAAAATTAGAAGTAGAAAGAAACAACCAATCATGTGGAAGTGCATTTTGGGCACATCATACACTTAGTCTAGATATATACCTAATCCAATGTAAGCTCTCTTTGGAATCGACCCCGGCTCCCATTGGGTAATTTTAATTCCATCGACCGCTTCACAATCCCAATTAGTGGTGTGAATTTGGGCGACATCATGAAAATCCCCTACTATATAAAGGAGGTCTGATTACTCATAAAACTCATTGTAACACGCACTCCAAAGCAATATATTATTATTTTCTCTGCTATTAGCTATTTCTTTTGTTCATTAGTGCTGGTCGTGGTGAGCCCAAATCAAGGGTGATCGTTTTCACTAAGGTTGGAACTATCCTATCCGTGTGGTTTGAGTTTATTCTATCTTTATCTCTTTATTATTGACGTAATTTATCGCTTTGTATCAAATTAATCCGCGTATCCTTAAAACCACTTACAATTTTAATTGTTATCCGATTTAAGCGCAAACAAAGGTCAATTACATAGAATTTACTGTTATTTCTACAATATTAGTGTTACAATATATGTTGTATAAGTACAATAACGCCAAAAAAAAAAGAAGACTATCAAATTACTTAAAAGATAGTTGCAGGTAATTCTATATGCAAATATTAATTGATAATATTTTTAAAAAAACAATCAATGCCTTTATAATAGATCAAATATAAGAAATTGTTTACACAAAGACGATTGCGGGTAATTTTTATATAAACATTAATTAATAATCACAAAAAAAGGAGAAAAAATTCTGTAAAAGGTCATATCTTTTTCAGTATAAAGATCAAAATACACGCTACAATAAGAAGATTATTTACACCGTCAAAATATAACTAAAAGTACATATAACTTACGTCATTAATTGTATTATTCCAAAATCCAACCAAAACTAGGTTCCAGATATATATTATACTCCAACAAGGACTCTTGTCTTTACTTTGCTCTTGTAGTTGTAGATCCGGGAATTGATTCATCAAATATTATACTCCACACGAGAAGATCTTCGGAATAATCCGTACAGCCAGTGCCGCCGTTAATTCCAACTGCTGTTGCATCGGAGATCGTACGTGATCGTAGTTTCCATGGATTCCAGAAGTAGTAGGGAATCAATCACGAGTAGCACCGTTCAGAATCGGCAGGGGCCTTCACCGCCGGCGACAAAGGCTTCGATAGAGGCACTGCCAATTCTTGAAATTGTACAAGAAGAAAAGAGGACTGAATGTGCTATCTGTTTGCTGGAATTTCAAGTCGGTGGAAAAGCTAAAGAGATGCCATGTAAGCATCGTTATCACCCGAATTGTATTGATCCGTGGTTGCGGGTACATGGATCGTGTCCAGTTTGTAGGTATAAGATGCCTGTAGAGAGACCGAAATTAGTTGACCGTAGGACTGATCGGTATTCTTTTGAATCTGACTGGGAGACCAGAGAAATGGAAATTGACAGCTTCTTTTCTGATTATAATTAATCTGATTAGGAACCTGTGGATTATTAGAATAACTCTTACTGTACTATTTACTTTGTACTTGTGAATTTGAGTTTTAAGTTCATCTTGTTTTGAATTCGATTGTAGTTCAACGGAGGTCTCGAGCTGCATGATCTAAATTAAGTAGTAGTAATATGTATGATTTGCAAATGAATGTTTGTTTTATAATAAGGATTTTAACTTCTAACTTGAAATAGAAAATCTGAAATTGAAGTAGTATTGTATATGTGCTTGATTTTTATGCTAGTGCGCTAGCCTGGTAGTTTGAGTTTCCACCTTTTTTGGTCTTGTCATTCAACATTGAATAAACATATTCATTGTGACAGTATCACATGATTGTGTCAAATCATTTCCTCTGCCTTTTATTTGGAATCTGACTGAGATTTTCACTACTAGAATTGTTCTGGCTGGCAACTTGACAATGTCTTTCAATCTTTTGTCCATTCGTTAGAGGACACTGTGATTTTAACAAGTTTGTCCTGATCATTCCAAGTAAGAGCTTGTTTGGTCAAGCTTTTAGGAGGCCAAAACTACTTTCTTTCCCAAGAAAGTATTTTTAAAATAATTTGAGTTGTTTGGCCAATACACAAAGTACTTTTTGCCAACAGCAGAAGCAGTTTTTCTGCTTTTGGGAAGAAGTAGAAAATTCTGGCTTCTTCCAAGAATCAGAAGCGAAAGTAGAAAATTAATTTACTCAAGACAAAACTATCCTCACCATAAATTTATATTTTTCAAATTATCCCTTACTAATTTAAGTTTTTTCTTTTCATTTTTGTTTCTAGTTTTTGCCATCCTATTAAAATTAAAGATATCATATATATGAATCATATTGTAACTTTTCAAAAATTTTATTGACTTTTCTTGTTTTTGATCTTTTATTTGTGTAATGTCTCGTAACTTTCTAAATTATCTTTTTTTTTTACACTAAGCAAATTATCTGCATCTTCGTTGGATTATCAATTCTCTTCCTACAAATAATTATTTATAATTTCTTCTATTATATGCTATTAGTTCCCGAATCTTTAAAACAATTATCAAATCTGATTTGTGAAATTGACCTACAAATAGGTGATAAATATACAATTGCATTGCATAATCTATCTATATATTATTAAAAGAAGAAGAAAATGCATCCATATTTAGTCAAGTGGCAGCCTCACAATAGGGCACTTGGCATTTTAGGGCAAAGTTAGTAAGGTTAGGTAATAATTAGTTTCTTTTTGAATTTAAATTTAAAACAAATATATATATTATGCATTATGTGTTGTTAATAATTAGTTACTCTTTTTGAATTAGAATTTAAACATACTTAACTATTTCTTTTACGATTTTTTTTATATATTTTAAATTATTTTTAGTTTACGCTCAATGCCAACTTTCAAGTTTGACACTCAAAATCATCTAGTTACAACTACCATGGCCATACATAATTTCATCCGACAACATTCTTGTACCGATAAAGAATTCAACTATTATGCTAATGAAGTCATTATTGCAGAGATTGATGAGAGAGATCAGCTTTCTGATATTCCTTTAGAAATGCGAGGCAAGTCTTCTACTAATATGGAAGTGTTATGAGATAGAAGTAGAGATGAAATTGTTGAGAAGTATTATCATGTGTGAGTGACTTTACTTATTATTTCATGATGGATTATCAATATATAGTAATTTGTGGATAGACTTCTAATTTATAGTGAATGATGTTATTTTAATTATTCAAATCATCATATAAAAATAAGTAATTATACTGGATAATATCATATACTTTAGTATAACTATATATGTAAAATTGATAATCTTTTTATATTTTAATTAAATAAAATAAAAAATAATAAGTCTCTTACGATAAATATTTAATTTTATTTTTTGTATTTAAAAGAATTATACGACCTTGGTACTATCCTTTTGGTAATTTGACACTCAAAAGCACTTTTTGAAATGATTGGCGAAACACAAATTATTTACCAAATGTTGCAAAAAGTACTTCTTAAATGAATTGACCAAACACAAATAATTTTTTTCCAAAAATACTTTTAAAAAAATACTTCTAAGAAAAGTACTTTTCGAAATAAGTAAATTTTGACAGCTTGGCCAAACGGACTCGAAGAACATTAATTCTCAAAGCATCAAGGAATAGAATTACGCTCTTTCCTACACAATGATGTCGACCAATAGTTTAGCGAACTCTGCTTCTCTACTACTATTGGTTGTATTATTATATTAGACTGTACGAGTATATTTTTAAACGAGTGGAACGATCTAAAATGGCCTGCAAAAATAGCTATGAATTTCTCTTCATTGAGTTTTCCTTTCTAGCTAGCATGGAACGAGACAATCAACTGATCATATTTGATGAAAAATAGAATCCATGGAAAATTTGCTGAAATGATAAACTAAATTAAAAAACTACTGAAAGTGATCACTTTTTCTTTAAACCTAATTTGCTGAATGTCAATGTAGCCATCAGAATTCAGAAAATGAGCGTTTGACCTTGCAGCTTGGAGAAGATTGAAACTACACCAATGAGTTTTTATATGAAAGTAGATATAGTAACAAAACTAACTTAAATTTGCAAGAAGAGAGAATATAAAGGAAATACTAACAAGCATATATAACTTTTTCTATGCAATCCATTGTACATACCAGGGCAGCTCAAGCTCATATGGGGCCTAAGGCCAAAGTTTAATATGGGGCCTAAGGCCAAAGATTGTATCTTTGTCAGGTATCTCATAAACCTCTTCTTCAATTTGGATTTTGTTATGATCATTTGACTCAAAGTTAGTGACTTGTTCATCTACAGAATATTCTCCTACATTTTGAGATTTAATTTTTTCATTATTTGTCAAAAAATTCTCAAGAGCTCCTTTTTGAGATTTTATTAAATTTTCAACTTTTCTTTTCTTTTGGATTTTTGAATATCCGGATGCATATTTTCTTGTAGACATGTTTATATTCTAAAAAGAAATTAAACAATATGTACATAGTAAAATTAATAAATAACAAATAAAATTAATACTAGAAAGTTAGAATGATATTATCCGGCTAACTGATTTAAGAAGTTTGAAGACTTTGATTCCAAAATATCTAGTTGTTGGCTTGTTGGAGTCTTGGAGAAAGAAAGAAATCTAGTAGAAAGAAGATGAGCATGAATAAAAAGGAAGGAAGAAGGTATGTCACTATGTCTCATTCTCCTATATGGAATATGAAGAATGAAACGAAATTGAAATGTTGGATTAGGTCTTGGAATTATTTGGGAAGAAGAGCAAAAAAGTAGAGTTGTCAAATCAAATCCAAGTGACAACTATTTTTTTAGTACTATTTTATTAATATGTTAAAAGTTTTTCTTTTTTTATATATGAAAAGCAAAAAAGTACTATATATATTATTTATTTTTTTAAAAAGAAAAACTTATAAACCTATAAAATATATAGTATTCCTAAAAAATAGGGCCTCCCAAAATTGGGGGCCTAAGCACTTGCGTTACCCCATACACCTATAGAGCCGGCCCTGATACATACATTCATACTTTTCCAAGAAAGATTACCCACAAAAGCATCGTCTGATTTTTATTTTGATTCCGGGTTAAAGTTTGATTTGCATAGTATAGTTGGTATTAGTTACCAATAAGTAAGAAAAAAATGAAGAAGGGCGACAACCAGTGTGAAATTTGTTGGCGAAATTCTTCAACGCTTGAGACAAGTAAGGATACCGTCCTTAAGGATATTTCACTAGTAAAGGCATATCCCTATTGACTCAACAAGCTCAATGGTAATCTAAAACTGCTATAATGTTAAACCTTATTTATGGGTTTACCATTTGGGGGGTGGGGGGGTTGGGTGCAAATCCACCAATTTTGCCTTCAGGTCCATTTTCCACTTGTGAGATTTTACTGGGTATTACTATTACAGTATCCAAAATATATTTCCCGATCATTATTTCTTAAACTTTCCCGTCTTCTTTGGTCCAAGAACTTCCATTGTACCTACAGAGCAACCGCACCTACTTCGAAATACAAGAATAGCTCTTCCATTAGGTGGAGCCATTCTTTTAAGCTCAGCTTCCAATTCTAGATAATGATCTCTAAGCAGTCCCTTTTTATTAACACCATTTTTTGCTGAAGTCAAATTTGACTTAAGACAATCTTCTCTCTCTAACTGTATATCAAATTCAGCAGCTTTCTTAAGTCCGCGACAACCTGGTTTCCTACATCCTCTACTTGTCGTACATACTGTAATTGCTAAAAGAGCTATTGCTGCAAATAAAATGCTAAGTCCTAGACAAATAAACACCCTCTATAAATTTCATCTTTCACCACATAAGTGAATGCTCCATAAATTTCAAATTTTTTATGTATCAAAAGATTTATGTAAGGATATAATAAAACCCCACATGCAACAACTACAGCAATTAAAATCACTACATCAATGATAGCAGAGTGAGACTGTTGACAATCACTTGGTGGCTTGTTGTTCTTTCTCTTGTGCAACTGATTCATTCGCCTCAATTTAAAAAGGGAACAGTTGAATTCTTGAATTTAGCCCTGGTTAATTTTGTGTCTCCTGGAGGAAATGAGCTATGTAAACAAACCATTTGGGTTGAAAATTTGTTACTGGAATTTAAAAAGACTCAATCTTTAATGAAAACTGAAACCGAGTTAATGAAGATTGAGGAATTCAGATCGACCCATCTTATCAAATTCAATGACAATTTTGGAAACTGTCGGTGGCTATTGGAATTTGGATACAAAGTCGATTTGGTTCTTGATTGGCAAATACGTAGAATTCAATCAGATTAAGTTCTTTCATATGAATGGTTTATGGTTCATGAAGTAACACACTTCATAACGCCACGTGTCTTTTTACTCTCTTTTTTCCCCTGCTTTTCGTGGGCTTTTTGTCTCTAACTACGTAGATGGGCCAAATCGACTAGGCTCCACGTAATGTTCGTTGGATCATTGTGTATTAATCCATAATTGATCAAAT